AACCTACCTCACAGTTCGGTGGCCTTGCAGTGAGTAAGATTTAAGCGACTCTGGGAAAGAGAGCTGTACAGCTGCTGCACACGGAATGTCGCTCTCACTTATTAAACAATACTGTTCATTACCTAGACCCCAGGAACAGTTGAGTAAAATACAACCCCAATTTTGAGGAGAATAAAGAAAAATGAAAATCATTGCTTGATAGAAGACATTTCAAAGATCTCCAAGACAAACCAACTGAAAAATCCCCAATAAAAAGACTCAGCAAGAAAATTGTGTCATGGCCCGTAATCCTCAACAGACCTTAACAAGATGTTCATGAGCCAACGACTCACGTCTGTAGAAGACAAAGACATAGGAAGCAATATAGTCCAGAGAAGGAGTATCGGTAAGAGGCACAAGAAAGATAAAACAGATCCCTCCACCTTACAATTAGAACTCCTAAGAAGAATAACCAGAAATGTGCCAAAAACCATGTTACAATAACTATTACATCTTTCTGCTCTTGGGAAATTAATATCTAGTTTAGGCCTGGGGCAATATTTGTAAAACTTTTTTTTTTTTATGGATGCTTTTTACCCGACCTGACTGAACACCCCCCGCCACAAAACTACTCCCTGGCACAGATGGCCAAGACATTTGCTTTCTCAAATACTCCATATTTCCACAGCCTCCCACCAGACAAAAATTAGATTACCAATGCTTGTGTAAACTTTCCAATCTCTGACACAATAAGATTCCAGAAAATGTACATGCACAGCTAAAAGCAGCATTATACATAATGCACTGTAATTCCAACAGACAAGTTGCTATCTTTGATAGATATACACATTTTCCATGCCAAGCACATGAGCTTCAATACATTTTTCTCAAGTTAAAATGGAAACTATTTAACAGATATAATGGGCACAATGACTTCCATTCTGCATTACTAATGCAGCAGAGAAGGAGGGAAGCTTTGGCAAGGACTGCAGTGAGACCAAAAAAAACCACAAAAAAACAAAACAGGAAACAACTCAGAAGCTATCACTGCTGTCCAGGCTATTGCTTTAGAGCATGGTCACGGAACCCAAGGGCCACTGAAATTTCATATTCTCAAAAGCCTAATTCCACATAATCAATTTGATTATGAGAAAAAAGTAAAAAGTGGACAAAATCGTGTTCGCATTTTTGCAAAAAGATCAAGAGTGTCACTGTGTGTTTTTCCCCGTTCCTAAAGAGATGTTATCATGACCAACTTGATTTCAGGGGAGAGTAATTTGAGGTAAATGAATTAAATGATGTATCATGTAAAAGAGAGTTAGGAAAATAATCCAGAAGCCCAAATCCACACTCTCTGCTTTCACCACTGGAAATACATATTTGCCAAGACTCCTTTTCATCACTCTTATAAAAATGTCAAAAACAGCAATACACATCAATGGCCCTTACTCTTACCTCAGCTCTTTCCAGCATCTAAAATAGTTACTTCAGTAATTGCATACTGAAGATTTTTTGTGTTTTGGTGCTATTTACTAGATTTAGGCAATAAATTTTAAAGCCCTAAATAAATGTTATTTTTGGCTTTGTTTTTAGAGCACAGGGTTTTGTGCATAGGGTTATTGGAATTCAGCAGACCTCAATTCTAATCCCCTCTCCACTCCTTACAAACTGAGTGAGCTTGGGCAAATTATTTTATCAGCGTTTCGATTTCTCCACCTATAAAATGGGTATAATAAAAATAAGGGGTTTAACAATTCCTAACACAGAGCTCATTACATGTTAGCCATAATCATTGTTTCCATTATATTTACAAAGGGGATATAAACATCTTTAGTGTAAGGCTCCAAAGTAGTTGGTGAAAGTATCTCAATGTGTAAATGCCCTTTTAGGGACAGACTTAAGAAACCAACTGGAGGAAGAACGTGAGACTTCTTCATTATGTTTGTCAGGAGTTCCGGCAATGATTTGCCTTTCTTTGATTGCACTTTTGCCCTTAGAAAATAAAAACATATCTCTACCTAGTGAAGTTTTAAAAATGGAAATATGACAATATTCAGGAAGATCAGACCTCACAATTCTTCCAAAATATTTCCACTCAAAGCAACTGATGACTTTTCTGGCTAACTTGCCATAGGTGTCACCTCATCTAATTACAGAGGTCAGATCACCACAGTCAAAACGCCGTGACAGCAAAGGGGTTACAAGGAGTGAAAAATGGTGGACACACTAAAAAAGGAAGAATACCTTTGACTGTGAAAGGTCAGGATGAGTTAGTAAGCTATTAACTTGGCTCTATTTTCAAATGATGAATCAACTTTTATGAGAAATATTCAGTGTTATCAAACTGCTTATCAAGATCCTTACTCTGTCATCTTAAAGATCTATTACTAAAATTTTTTGAACAAGACTTAATGTCTTAATTGTTAAATTACAGTGATATGCCCTGGGATATGAAAATAACTCAAAATTTTAGCTTGTTTCAGTTTTCTCATGCAGAATAAACTTTTTTAAATGAGGGGTTTCTAAGGTGTGCCATGTTTAGCCAGATGAAAAATAAACCAGACAGGCTTGATAGTCAGCAGTAGAAAGAGAAACAAATTAAGTACTTACAATTAAAGCTTGAGGAATGAAAAAATTCACACTTTCTTAGAGCTATTATTTCAGACAGTCTGGTGTCAGAATTAAAAGCCAACCAGTGCATCTGTTTATATTGCCAAGGATTTTCACAGTAAGAAGGGCTAGGAAACACATATTTTTTAATTAGGGTCCAAATTCCAAAGAACACCAAAAAATAGTATGTCAAAAATATATGTTCTTGTGATTTGTATTGTCCAATGTCTAAACAAAGACAAAAAATTATGTTTCTTCTCCTTCACAAACATAAGAGAAAGGACAAAAAAAATAGTAATTCTGTTGCTTTGGCCACAGACTCCTTTTTTTGTTATCCTGCTTGCTTCTGGCTTAGCTACTGCTTTTCTTTCCCAGGATGAAATAATACAGGAAAAGCCGATTAAGGAAGTCTTCATTCACACAGAAGGTTCACCAGGCTTGCTCAGCCATGAAGCCTTAAAAGCTGAATTACAATGGCCACCTAAAATGACCGTTTTACACTTTAAAGTGCATCTTCTATTTTTAAAATTTGGGTTAACTCTTTGCTTATCTTAAGCTTTGAGTTAAAAGAAAGACTTCTTTAAAATCCACGCTGATACATAGAAGTTTGTAGTACTCAAATCTATTAACCTATTTTTACTTCTCACCTGCAAACTTAGAGGTATTTTCTGCAATTTCAAAGATAACTCTTTTGTTCAATTGGGGGGAAAAAACAAAAACAAACTAAAAAGTGGTATTCTGCACATAAAAGTGAATAAACTTCATTTATTTATTCAACAAATATTAATTGATCGCCTACTAGTTTCCAGACACTTGGTTTGTTGTTGGAGATACTGAGTTGAACAAGACTTCACTGCATCTAACACACAATCATAACACAGGTGATACGATCTCTAATCAGGGAAGTACAGGGTTCTAGCAAAGTGCTTACCAAGAGGAGAGTGCTGAAATAGACTTGAGAGATGATCGAGTCTCATGTCTTTTATTCGACCAAGCAAGAAACTAAGATGCAAAAAGGTTGAGCTCCATGATCACAGAGCTCTTTAGTGAAAAAAAAAAAAACCAAACCAAAAAACAATTAAACTAACAAACAAAAAATCACAGGACTGGAGTTCTTGTCACCAAATTCAAATCTCATACTCTCTAAATAGCAATATACTTCTTCCCAAAAAATGATTGTTTTTCCTCCCAAAATAATAATCACCAAGCCATGAATGTCAAGACAGCTGACTGTTGAGAACAGAGCACAAAGCCAATATTCATCCCAGTTACATGGCATTATGGATGGTGGAGAGGGAGATTTTAGAAGTCAGACTCAACCGAATTCTAATTTGGAATCTACTATACCTAACCAGCTAGGTGATATTGGGTAAGAATAGAACTCTGAAAATCATTTGGATTATTAAAAATATTTCAAATTAGGATCACAATATCTTTATGACAGGTGTAAATTTCATGGAATAGTTTAATTGAGTAGGTACTCAATATATGTAATTTCCCACCCCCTCTTTCCCTGATGTAAATAGAACTGATGAAAGACCAGATCAGCTGAAATCACATCTCAGCTTTTATTTCTTACGTCATTTTAGCATGAGATCCAGCCTCCAACTTTAAGCCATTTTTATAGATCAGTTTTGGCATATCTTCACAAAATAAAACGTCTCTGTGAACATTTTGGGAGTTAGAAAGCAGAGACTAAACAATTAAATTTGGAGAATTTCTTTCTTTCTTCTTCTTCTTCTTCTTTTTTTAAAGAGAACTTCATTAGCATATGTCCTCTAAGAAAAGATGCGAAGGATACAGTCAGAAGAAATATTTAAAATTAATTAAACCTCCTATATAATTCTTCAAGTCTCTTTCCATAGATCATAGAAACCCAACTAGCTTAGGTAAAGGTAACGTGTAGGCTCTCATATCTAGGATGTCCAGGAGTAGACAAGCTTAAGAATGAGTAAATCCAGGGACCTAAAGGACAAATTCAGTGTCTGCTTTTACCCTCTCTACTTGGCTCTTTGGGCCCCCTTTTTGGCTTAGACTTTTTACACATGGCAGAAAAGATGGCTTCTGTCAGCCACAAGTCTATGTTATCTTTCCATCTCACAGAGGAGGAGAGAACCCTCATCCCAGCATGCTAATCTCAAGTCTCAGGAAACACCCTGATTGGTACTACCTGACTCTCATAACCATTCCACAAAAAAGCATGGCCAGAAATAGAGGACTCAGGGTACCATGTCTGTATGCATTGAGCAGAGGCGGGCAAGGTCATTCCACTCAAGCTACATTGAATAGGCCCTCCACTGGAAATTGGGGTTCTCTTTCCTGAAAAAAAGGGGAGAAGAGATCCTACAAAGGCAAAACTGACAAATAATGAATATCTGTGCAAATAATTCTTTTTATTTCCCTTATTTTAGGATTTTCCAGTTCAATTCAAAATCCTCTTGGAGATCCTGGTAGGTACATCCTTATGTCTTTGTAATAGCTTCCTATATTGACTGATGGGCCCTTTGGGTGCCATATGATAAGGGAGGAACTACACCTTTGTCCATGTCCACAATACAGTTCCATAGCACTGGCATACATTCATTCAACACCTACATTATTCAAGGTATGTTGAGGTTAAGTTTTGCCTTGAAGGTGCTTATAACCTATTTTTGCATACACATTAGATATTTTTAAGGTTAAACATGATATACTCCTTTATGCAGTACCTGGTTCATGGTCTGTCATACGTAGGACCCTGTGTTTAGTGCCATGGGGTACAAAAACCTTGGTCTCTGTCCCCAAAGGATTGGAGAGGAAGAGTAAGAGGTGTGCGAGATCATTTTAAGCTGGAGTTGGCATAGAAGACTCCACGTATAAGTTCCCACATGAGCTGTGTTTTGGAGGATAAGTAGAAGTTTCACTGTAAGGAACAGAAGAGCAGCCTGTACAACAGAGTAGGAGAAAAACCAGAATTCTACATCAAAGAAATGAGGGCCAGGATCATGGCCGGACTAGCCACGTAACAAGGGGGAGGAAACCTGATTAAAGGTCATTGATTTGGTGATTAGAAAGTCATGTATCCATTTGTGTAGTCACTCAACAAATATTTCTTAAGCATGCCTGCAGGATACAGTGAAGAGAATGAGACTGAAAATACAGGGAAAGGGAATGATGGTGGATAAAGTCACATCTTGCAGCTGGTGAAAGAGATAGAGATGCAAACTCCTGATGCAGAGGTTCATCTTTAAAAGGGGGGAGGCCCCTTCTCCTCCAATGGAGAATTGAAGAAAATGTACAGAAACAGAGCTATTTTGCAGTGAAATGCAAGGATAAGAAACTGGACCAAGAAGATTTTATTTGTACCGTGTGGACAGTGGCTCACATCCCTGGCTACACATTAGAATCATCTTGGCAGTTGTTGCAAATTATGCACAGGCTGCACTCCAGACCAATTAAATCAGAAAAATTTCAGATTTCTTCAGGCTGAGGATGCCCAAGGCAGGCTTTAAAGAGTAGTTAGCAATATTTGACTAGGTGGGGAAAAGTTGTTCTCTTATATGTGAGAACAACTTGAGCAAAACCTGAAGACCTAGGAACTGATAAGGAAATTAATTTGAATAGAATAAAGGAAGCAAGGAAGAAGTGGGGAAGAAAACAGAAAGGCTAGCTGTAGGGAGATCATGAAGGATGTTTATAAATGTCGAGAATGCTGCAGAACAGATATCTGTATATCCCATTCCTTACGACCATAAGGGCAGGGATCTTACCAGGACTGAGTTTTCAATCCCATCAGAGTCCCTGGCATGGACAGTTAGTAGATGTTCAATAAACATTGGTTGAACAAATAGCTTAATAAATAAACAAATGTATAACTCAGATATCAGTCCAGCCTTCTCTTCAAGTGTCTAGGATCCCTGAAAAAAGTGCTATCAATTGTCTCAGGCCTGATCCCAGGTCACTCATTGCAAACACTTTTCCACATCTCACTCAGATCTACCTGGACCTCAGCTGGTTTCACTGGATATAACTCCAGTCTCTTTATTCTTAGTACCATCAATAGCAGATTGTGTGCAATAGATTTTTACTAAAGTATAACAAAAGTCAGAAAACGATGGAAAGAAGGGCTTTATCATCAAAGCACCAGCTAACAAGCGATTTAAATTAGATACTAGATAACCATATTGTTAACTGTATCACTTGGTCGTTCTCATTGGCCATTATTCCACGCTGAGACCTTGTTTCCTGCCATCTTGCTACACTCCTATTTCCTTCAAGCTTCACCAGTACCACCCAAACCACAAATTTCAGCTTTTTCTTACATAGAGCAATTTAACTATGACTATCTCCTATATCCTCATATAGGGCTTAGGGAAAACTCACTTTTAGTACCAGAAGTGATTTTGCCAAATGAGAGGTCAGATATTAACCCCATCCCTTTTAGGGCCACAGACTTTTATAGCCAATTATGGTTTTAGATGTCATTTTTTTTTCTCCTCGCTATACAAAAGAATGAATCACCCAGGGAAGACGAGTGGAAAACCTCCAAACCAATAACCAGTGAGGCCCCATGAGGGAACAAACATTCACATTGGACATCCACAAAACAATACGTATTCACATTATTGTTGTGTAGAATCCATACCCCCTGTTAGGGACTCTCAGAATCAGTGTCTTTGTCTTATAATGGCATCACCGTCTCCAGTCACATGAGTGGTGGTGTGAATACAGTGGACACTCGACACACGTGCACTAATCATGAGGATAAAGGGTAAAGATGAGATGCTCTCTGAGATTTTATACCTTATAATAATAATGGTAATAATAGCTACTTTGTATGTCCAAAGCCGTTGAAAAGCATTAACATTTCACATGGTGCCCATCCTCAGAAAGTAGATCAATATTTATTCTTTCAAGTGTGTCGACTGTACAGCTGGGGCACGTCTAGGTGAAAGCGTCACCCTGCCAGTGTCAGCCTCAGAACTTGGAAACTGCATCTCCTAGTTCATTATGTCAGAATAATCAAGTGACCCTGGCCAGTTGAACATATTCATTAATGGTTAAAGGGGAACCGGGTGGAAGGAGCAGACAAGAAGGCTCTGGGAGCTTAGAGTGCTAAACAGCCGTCAAGAGAACAGGACTGTTATTTGGTGTAGCATCAGTTCTGGAAGGGAACACACACACACACACACACACACAAATAC